AGTACAAAAGAAACAAAACCATATCAATTCGAGAAACTCTCAATAAACTAATCAATGAAGGCAAAAATGAAAACGTAAAAACAATTCGTGAACTAAACACGCAACTAAAGGAACTCCAAGAAGAATAGAACAAGCGGGACACTCTGTGATGGCAAAAATGAAAACTTGGAAGAAGGTGAGAGACCCACGAGAACTTTTTTTGAAAGAATCAAAAAGATAGCCAGGCAAACGACAATTACGAAACTTAGGTCAGGCAACCAATCCATGGCGACCAATGAAAAGGAGATCCTAAATGCAGTGGAAAATTTCTATACACAACTATGGGGTAGGGAGAGCGACACACTGGAGCATAAACAAAATCATTATGTATCGCTTATGAGCAGCACCAAGATAACGGGAGACCAGAATCATGAGCTGCAGAGGCCAGTGACTGAAGAAGAGGTATATGATGCAATCCAATATATGCCCAACAACAAATCCCCAGGCCTAGATGGGCTCAGTAAGGAGTTCTACGTTACCTTTTGGGATATGATTAAAACGCTTCTTACTCAGCTCATGAACAGTATACTTAATTTCGGCCAATTACCAAAATCTGCTACTACAGCAAAAGTAAAATTAATCTATAAAAAAAACGACGAAACTGACCTCAAAAACTGGCGTCCCATCACTACGTTAAATACAGACTATAAAATCTTATCCAGAATATTAGTTAAAAGACTTGCACCCATTATGAATAATATCATTAGCCCAACTCAGAAATGTTCACTCCCCCTAAGATCTATGGAAACGGTGCACTATAACACAGATGCAATTGTAAGATACTGCAGAACGAAAAATATCCCGGCAACTCTAGTCATGATAGACAACCTGAAAGCGTTTGATAGGGTGAGCCATAGCTTCATTTTTAAATTACTCAAACAAATTGGTCTTGGGAATAAAATCATAAACGCTATCATAAGTATGTATACTGAAATAAAAAGCCGTGTGGACGTCAATGGCAAACTGACAAATGAAATAGCAATTCGTAGAGGGATACGGCAAGGGTGCCCCTTGAGCATGCTCTTGTATGCACTCAACACCGAACCTTTTGCAAGAGCAGTACAATCCAACAAAAACATACATGGAATTAAACTAGAGACCTTCGAGCATAAAATGGACCAATATGCCGATGATGTTACATTCGCTGTTAGAGACTTGTCATCCATAACGGAAATCTTTAATGAATTACACAAATTTGAATTAGCGACAGGACAAAAAGTGAACGTAGATAAAACAGAAATATTATGCTTGACAAGGACTTCCTATAATTTGATTACTAATTCGGCATATGGAAAATTCATAAAAGATACCACAAAAATACTCGGAGTGCACTTTGGAAACATGGGGATAGAAAAAATTTGGTTGAATATAGAAAACAAGCTGATAAGAGCACTAAATTATATAAAATTACGTCGCCTAACCTGGTATGGGAAACAAATAGTTATAAATTCGATAATAATGTCAGTAATAATCTTTCATGCCAGAGTCAAAATAATCCCTCAAAAAACTCTTAATAAAATTCAAACGTCATGCTTCAAATTTTTATGGTTTCCCGAAAAAATTGAAGCGATCAGCAGAAAAAAACTTCAAACACCATTAAAAGACGGGGGAATGAACATGATCGACCTTCACGCGAAAGTGAAGGCATGCCAGGTAGAAAGATTGAAAACGATGGTACTCGGAATACCAATATCACAATTCTGGCAATATGAGGCCCTATATGCCTTAGGTTCGAAGATCAAAATTGTAAACAGCGAGTTATACACCAACTACATGTAATCCCACCTTACTGGGCAGATATCCTGGACATTTTCAAGAAAATAAAGTTCACGCGAGCCGAATGGGAAGTAGCAAGGCATAAAGACATATATGGAAAACTGAGGACCATAACTCCTAACCATAAACAGGAGGATACAAACTGGCAACAAGTCCACTTACGTTCAAAGGCCCTCAATTCACATTTCACGAATGTTGAGAGGATATGTTCATATAGTATTGCCAGAGAAGGCTATATATTTGGGGACCGTCTGAAAAATATGGGAATCAGGTATAAGGCATCTGGCGCTCTGAAGTTACTTAATTGCAAATTCTGCAAGGCGGTAACAGATAGCGCTAAACACCTGATATACCACTGTAGTAAAATCTCAAATTACATCCTGGCGATCTTACAAGTACTAAGTGACGTGGGTGATAAACGTATCTGTGCGTCAAGAGATGAAATTATGTACAATAAATACAATGGGCCACAACATTTACTCGTGACTAAATCCTTTGTTATACTAAAAAACAACATCATAAAAAAGAAGATCAACTTGGATATAATGAACAAATACTTGGACCCCAACGAAGACAGTATAGTACAAACAACAATAGAAAATCTATTAGAGTACCTCACCTTAAAAGAAACCAAATTTCAAAATTTGCAATTTATAGAGATAACCACAGACTGAAAACAAATCTTAAACGGGTATCTAATGACAGGTGACTCTATGTTTTTCAATCCAAACTTCCAAACTCAACCACCATAAAAGGGAGTTTAGGTCACGTTAATACCATCCACAACTTTCCACGGAAATGATGGATCGGAAGCTTCACGGTGGATGTCAGTCTGTGTGCGTGTTACACGTCCACACAGGGTGTACGGGAGCCGGGGTGGCGGAAGTTAAGCTGTGCTAAGCATGGCATTGACGGAAGCCCTGGGCAGACGTCCTGCTATTTGGCACATAGCATGTACTGATGCCCGGGGAGGAAGTCTTTGCCTTGCAATGTATAGCGAATACGGAGGCGGCCTTGCCTGCTTACGCAGTGGCATCTTTATGAAGCGTAATACCGATATGACTCGGATATGACGTGTCTTTATGACACTGATCCGAGACTGGAAAAACTATGATCCGTATGAAAAAAAAAAAAAAAAAAAAGTCGATTCCTATCGCCGGCATAATTTTGTTTGAGCAAATTTTAGGTACCGGTACAATCTGGGAATTGAATATAGGGTGCAGTTGAAACAGTTCATTTCACTAGTTAAATAACCACTCTGTAATTCTGTGATAAGCAGCTTATAGCTAATCCGTTGCATCTCATACTTGATTATTATAAAAAGTAACCGCTAATACAAATACTAATTTCACGCAGTTATCACAGCAATTACTTCAACCCCACAACTATCTTTATTAGAGTAGGTTATGCGTACGCAATTATTCGACGCAAAAGCAGAGGCGCGCGAAGTAAAAATATAATAATAAAATAACAATTTCATGTCTATAACAGCAAAAATAGTTTGGTAGTATTTCGTATATGTTAGCCGGGATAATATCTTTAAACGTTTTAGCAGGATCTATGTCTTTGGCATAGATATTTTAGGTTTTCACTTGGTAAATCGAAATATAGTTGACCACATCAAAAAGGACACAACATATTTTCCCTACACTAAGAATCGTTGCATCCACTACACATGTTTGTAAAACACCTATATCAACATACGTTTATTTGACAAATATAGATGGGACGGCGCTCCAGAAGTATATGTACCAATATGGAGGTAACTAATTTTATTCGCCTACTTTACATCGAGTTGTGTAAAGGAAAGATGCCTATGGGCATGGGGGTATATTCACTTTGCTAACACAAACAGTCCCCAAACGTAATAGAACTAAAATGAGAGAAATCGGAATAAAATTGTGGCCTAACCCCAACCTGGTACACATACTACGGGAGTACCGATAAGACACTGTTTTATTCTTCGCTGTCGCGCTGTAATTGGCGCCCAATATAGTAAAATTGAAGATTTAAATGTTATTGGACACGAAATGGACCTATTGATCTTTTTGTTGTTGTTGTGAATAAATCGCTTTTGGAATTATCTGCTACAATTTTCAGTGGTTGTAGATTGTTGATTCATTCCCTAATTTTTAATGAACCCTAAGAGATTTCATTCAACATTTTGCTGTTTTATTTTATTCACGGTTTTTATTTCGCCAAGCATGACAGTTTACGTCAAAGATGTCCTCGTTTTTTCGTTAATAAAAACAGATTAAAAAATAAAAATGCAAAAAAAAAAACGCGATTAAAATAAAACTAAAAAAGGTTGTCCGGCGTTTTCATTTTGAAATATTTTGCTTCTGCTTGGGATCAACGTTGTCATTCTACGCGCACTAACGGTGTTCCCAAAGTTTAAAGTCGACTTACTACCGTACCGGTACCTGTATATTGCAAGACACCATGTATATTGCAAGAACCTGATGATGGCTGTTTCAGAGAATTAGCAATACGTATTCTATTGCAGGTTCGACCCTTTAAATTCAGTTTGTTATCCTATTAATGTACGGTCTCAATCCTACTGCAATTTGTTCCGCCACTTTTAAAATCTTAATACTATAATATTCGAATATACGTTTCAATCTTATTATTTAAAATATATTTATCAATAAAAATAGAATTGTAGAATTGTGTGGTTTGTGCTGGCGCAATGTTCAGGAATAAATTTGTTTTGAAATTATTATTTTATGCTTATCACTACATAATTAGGTTGCTGACTAATATCTTTTTAATATTTTATTTACGTTTGTCAATTTAGCAGAAGTTAGCACAAGAATACATTTCACTTATTTGAGATTTGTGTACCGAGAAATAAAACTAAACAGACAAGTGCCATGCACGTCAGAAAAATTAGAAACAGGGATGTAAAGTTTAGTTAAATTGTACAAAGTTACTGACTGACACCTACTTATAAGAGAGTTTTGTCGTAACCAAGTGAAATAGTGTAACAAGCTTAATTTGATAACATTAGAAATATGACCGACATTGTCGATATGAAGCGAATTCAAACGGAAGTAATCGAATGAGTGCAATATCCCAACGGCTGCCTTTGTAGATTTTTTTGCGAACAGAAAGGGCAACTACCTAGTATGTGTAATAAATGTGAAGTTTGATTTGTTTGTACAATTTTAACATGAAACGACTACTCACTGGAGGATCTTTGTCGGGACCCAGTAAAAACGCATATACGGCTGCACCATAAGCAACTGCTTCGTCGGGATTGATATTTTTTTAAGCTTCATGTTGTCAAAATACTCTTCCAACATTTCTTGAATTTTCGGAATTCGCGCTGAGCCTCCGACAAGAACAACGTCATCAAACTAAAAAGTCGAGATTTGTCTAAAGAATTGAAGAGGAGATTTCAAAAATAATACAGGTTTTTGAAGTGAAATATATATCCATTTCGTGTCTTATAATTGAGTGGTATGAGCAGAACTAAATAAGAAAATAATTGGTTTGAATATGTCAACGCTTCGCGCATGTCTCACATTTTCCTTTTTTAGTCCGGAATCGGAAAGAGTATTCTTCACGGTATCAAGCATTCTCCTGAATAAATTGCTGTTCAGATTTTCAAATTCTTCTCTTGAAATACAGCTGCGAAAATCGCCTCCGCCATGCAAAGCATCGATTTGAACCCTTCAAAAGCAAAAACACGACATAAGTATGTTCGAGCATTTTAAATTCAATATAGTGTACAAATGAATAGGTTGGCTGATTTTCTTCTTAAATATTTCATCATCTAGTCTTTGGGTTTGCAACCTTTTATTACAGGAGGGCCAGAGAGAAATAACAGAATGAAACCGCGTGTACAAACATTTTGGTTATTGATCTACAGCGTGCGCTGTATGAACAAGCTGCTATCGAGGTACTGTAAAGTCATAGGCATAGATAATGAATTAGACTCAGATAAAGGTAACGTAAAGAGATTGGAAATACTTGCACGTACCAACTTAAATTGTAAACTCGTTCAGCGGGCCGCACATAATTTGATATAGGCACTTCTCCGCGGGCCGCACAAATTTTCTTTGAGGGCTGTAGGTTGCACACCCCTGATCTAGTCAACTAGATAGCGATCGGAGACCGCCGACTTGTCGATCTTCCTCATGTTCAATAATTTACTCGACAATTTTGACGGAGTACGATTTCACATGAGTTAGGGGATCCCCCGAAGCAGAAACTGTGGTTCGATTCTTTTGCTCTGACTCAATAGCGACACCGCGTGTCATATCACTAATTAAATAATAACCCGATAATTATACGACATAATTCATCCAAAATCAATAGGCTTCTGGTCCGAGATATGATGTAAGCCCATGCAAAATTTGGAGCAGATTCGCTTTCGTGAGATATCGCGTAACATACGAAATATCTAACAGACAAATACCTATTAACATACCTACCGATCGAGATCGATAAGTAATTAAGTCATAAATTAAACCCGGTATTAAGCAAAAATTAAATTCAACTTTTGAGGGAAATAGCAAATACCTGTTTCCATCATTACTCCAAGCTTTCAGTGTTCATGTTTTCACGGCAATTTTTCATGCTCTGCACACGATCATCACTTAATCCCGAGTTTAGTAAACGCCGGAAAGATTCTAGTCCAGGGGTTTTTGAACCAGGAGCCAAAAAAGTTTTCCTTGCTAAACTGGCGGGTCATGTAAGTGTGGCGTAAAAAGTTACATTTTAAAATAATATTTACAGTGTTATAAAAGGAAAAGCGGAAAACAATAAGTCCTGTGCCCAAACTAAATTTAATCGCAGTCTCAACAACAAATCCCTTAAGGCTTAAGCTATTCTCTGGTTTAAACATCCATACAGTATTTGGTTTCTGTTTGATTGTGGCAGCAGGGGGGTGGTGGGTTTTGGGATTATATTACCCAACGGACCAGATTTGTCCCGCGAGCCATGTTTTCCCATGTCAGTTCGAGTCCCTCTTAAAATACTATTTCCTTACACATCAATGACTGCCTGTATTGATCGCTTCGAAATTTAAAAATAACATACCTAGTTATTGTTGTATAAAACAAATTTCTTTCTGCTGCCTCACACGCCACTCGAAGACGATTCAAGGCTATTTTGTTTTCTGATATATCTTCACCGTGTTGTTTTTTGAACTCAGAAACAAAATACTCCACAAGATTGTTAACAAAGTCTTCACCTGTGAAGAGAGATGTGAGTTTAAATGAGTGCAAAATCTCAAATACACTAGATTGGTCATAATGATCGTAATACGCCGCTTAAATCGTTATATATGTCTTCAGTAATAACATATGCGTGGTTTTACTATAAACGCATAAAATATGTTTTTATCTTACCACCCAGGTGAGTGTCACCTCCCGTTGCCTCCACGTCAAACTTGCGGCCTTTAATATTCACGATGGTTACATCGAAGGTGCCTTCTCCGAGCTCAAATATGAGAACATTCCGTTCATTGTCGCTCTGTGAGATAAGGATTCGAAATCTATTTACGTTAAGATACTTATTAAAACGCACTGGTAAAATTACTTTGGATATTTGGCATTTGAAAAATCAGAATACAGATTGATTAAGAGTACTTTTATATTCAATAAAGAATTCAGAAACAATAATATCTACCACTTTACCATGCCAATCGAGATATTTAAGCCCATTTCACGAGTTCATTTTGCATGTATCATTTCAGAAATAGAAGGTTTGTTACCCATAATGCCCTTGAACTTCACTCATGGACTTGAGTTCTATTCTGCGAGGTGACGCTAAAGAGCACCTCCCAAATGATATTTTACATGTGCACCTCGTGGCATAAAATTCATGCATTTATGTCTACTAAACTGGAGGGTTAATAGTCATTTATAGCTATTACTTATAGTTAAATTTATAGTTAAAATTATAGTTAATATTATAGTTAAAATCGTTACTAAAAAAATCAAAATTGCACTTACGAAATTAATAAAAAATTTAACTTTTTATTTAACAACGTAACTCCCTAATTATTACTTTACAGAAGCTTGAAAATGCAACGAGAGTAATTATCTCCGATGATGATAGGGGCAGAGAGAAGTGAACAAGCCGTTGTGACTTTGTGATTGACAATTGATTTTACTTTCCATTCTTGTTTACATTTCTACCCACCCATCCACCCATCATATACATTTATATATAAAAACTAGCAAGTAGAAATCAATAAATTAGAATTGACCAACGATACCAATAGAAAAATTAAGAAAAAAGGATAACCAACTATTTTGCAAAAACAGCCATAATATGCGTATATAGCCAACCCGAATGCCTATCCATAGCTATACAGACAAACAACAGATCGAATATGCATACACATACAATCAAATATGTATTTTTATCTAATTGAATACTTATATTACCGACTCAACAATCGAAATATTCTGAAACATATACAAATTGTAATTAAAAATAGAAAACCCCGCATTACCTGCCTATCCAGCCCATACGCCACAGCGGCCGCAGTCGGCTCATTGATCATGCCAATAACATTGAGGCCTGCTATTAACCCTGCATCACGAGTTGCTTTTCGCTGAGCGTCATTGAAATAAGCAGGGACTGTAATAACTGCATCAGTTACGATTTCGCCCAAGAATGTTTCAGCATCGTCTTTCATCTTTTTCAGAATCATCGCACTTATTTGTTCTGGGCAGAATATACTTCGTTTGTCGTTTTGGATTATCTAAAATAATCACATATTAAAAAAAATAGAGAACAAGATATAAGTGTTTGGACACGCACGAAAGTACACTGATCTATACCGCTGCGCTGTTAATTAACCGTTGCCACTAACAATGAAATGTGTTATCTGATCAATCAAGTCTTGCTGGCCTGGCGATTTATGTTATCGCCGGTAAAACCGCGGCTGAACAAGGAGCAGAACTTTGTCGCAATTCACGTAGGGGCGCAATCTTTGTATAGCTAGAAAATTTTGGATGGAACTGTCGAGATACAAATTTATGAAAACTTGAAAAGGAAACTTAATAACTTTCAAGTGGCTGCAACCATTTTCTTAGGCTTGTTGTCATCATCAAAAACGCGGAATCCCCATTATTTTATATCAGCTTGAACCGAAGGATCATCATAGGTTCGACCAATCAAACGCTTGATTTCTAAATACATTTTTCAGTTAAAAATAGTTGTTACGAAAATATGACTAAAATGTAAAAACGACTAAAGTTTTCTGAACATTTTTGTTTAATTTAATCTGTTGTTTCATCAATTAATAAGCAATATTTTCAATTCACAATATTTAGCATCGGTTGATTCGGCGTTTTCCGCACCCAAGATAATGGTTAATGGCAATGCACTCAGATAATGTTGTGTACAAACCCCCACTGTTATGATTTTTTTGTTCTGCCCGGGATCGAGGCATGAGTACGTGATACAATACCAAATAACTAAATTGTATTAAAAAGTAAAACGAAAGAAACAATATTGAGTCACATATACCAGTTATGTTCAACACAATTATGTTAATTTCTAGAGCACTGTTAATTTTGTGAACCACTGAGATACAGGGATACTTACGGCAAGGAGTATTCTCGTAGTTTGTTGTCTCTTCTTCTTTAGCTTCTTCACCTACTAATGTTTCATACATCGTAAACGATACATAAGACGGAGTAACACGATTTCCCCAAATATCTTCGATAATTTCGACCTGATAAAAAAAATTATTAATTATTCTCATTTATCAAGTTTTCTAGGATAAACACAAGTCATTATGTTATGTTAAGATATTCTTGCAGCTATAAAGCTGTTCTCCATTTAACGCATTAGTCACTTGTGTGCAACCTGCGTACCGATGGAGAAAATGTGCGGCTCGCGAAAATGTTCCAATTTTGAATGGTGTGCGCCCATCAAAAACAAGTTTTTAATTTCATCTGGTACGTGTGAGCAATTCCAATTGAATATTTTGCATATAGTATTTAATATAATTTTTTTTTGCGAATATGAATCAATAGATTCATTTTACCTTTCGATGTCGTTTACTTTCTGTTGCATAGTGTTTGTCCCTATTGTTACATAATAATGGAGGTAGACATTACTTTCTGCAATTTCGTGAGCTGCAGTTTAATTATCTGCTGAACCAAGTTTAGAGGACATAGGTGAATTTTTCAGCATTTCGAAAAAAAACCAGGCAGAGTTTTTTTTCGTGATAATTTTTCGCCGCACAAACAAACGGTTTGGGAACCGCCGATCATTTTTTGTAATACTGTTTATGCTGTTTGCAAAAAAAACACCCGGCATTAATTATATTGTTAGGCCATTCCATTAATATTTAGTTATCAGGCATAACCACCACAGGCATACGCATTCGATTTTTAGTTTCCTGTGATGCCAAAATTGTTAGTATATATTCCCGACCAAACAGATAGAAAGCCAAAAAACAATTTAGACTGCCAAGCACATCATTCAACTTCGCTATTTGCCTCAGCTAGTCATAACACTAGGCAATTCGGTGACATTAGTGATGTAACAATACAGCTTCAATTGGTTATAACGACATACAAGCCAAATTTAAAGAGGATTGTTCAATCCAAAGAATGCCAGAAGCCCCACTTAATAGCATGATTAACAATAAATGACTTGTTAATTTCTGTCATAATCATGTTTGTTAGTGACATTTACAATAAACTAGCATTCTAGCAGAGCTTAATAAAAGTATATCTGGTGTTCATGTGTGGTCTTGTTTATAATGTGGCTCTTCGCGGTAATAAAGTACGAAATGCGGCTCTTGGACTCTGACTGGTTGGCCACCCCTACTTTCTAGTTTACTTTGATGCAATTCATTTGATCAACACTCATTAAAGACATCTCATAATTATCAACAAATTTGATGAAAATTTCAAAACTAGGAATGTATCGGTATCGTCCATCTAGTCCAGGGATTCTCAACTTTTTTTCTGTCAAGTACCCCCCGAGTCACGAAACAATCAACGCAAACCCCCGGTAATCTGACACCAAACAAAGTTATGATATATTGACTAACAATTTGTTGAAACAACAACTTATTGACCAAATTTACTCCCCTTGTTATTATTATTGCCCTAGTCTTTCGCCTAACTAATGAATTCTTGAAATCCCTCTCAAGTTTCAATAGGCATATCACTTTCTCCAATGCTCGCAGCACGCTGTCTTTGGAAATTTTGTGTTTGCCTGCAAATCCGTGAATTTCACATTGTTGCGTCACAATCACAACAACGCAAGATCAGGGAAAATTAACGTTTCAATTGGCATCCAGTTTCAATCGGCACGCGTTTTCCTCTGGTAGTAATAAAGAATATTGAAAAACAGCAACCCACAGAAACTCGACTGCCATCTAAGTACCCCTTGAAATCTTCTCGTGAACCCCCGGGGGTTCGCGAACCCCAGGTTGAGAACCCCTGAATTCTAGTCGATGTCGGCATAGGGTAAGAAGAGCAATAATTTCGATCCACATAAATATTCATTCAACATTTCAAAGATACACACTGTATGCGGAATTTAAAAATAAATTGATGGTGCACAATAACACGGACAATGTAAAAAGTGAAGACGTGAATAATACAAGAGAGAAATAGGCTGAAACATATATTTTGGGACATAATTATTTTGCATCAAAACTTATTTTATCGGCACATACAACGCGTAAGTTTTGCACAGTTAATATACAAATCAATATTGTTTGCAGCAAGCATAAATGCACCTATGTCACGAGAGATAAACTTTGATCCGCATGACGCAAGATATTTTAGAGCAGGGGTCACCAAACTACGGCCCGCGGCCGGATCCGGCCCGCGGCGTCATTTTATCCGGCCCGCGATAACACGCAAAAAGGGCGAAATATTTTTCCAAAGGAAATTTTCCCGAGCATCGTCTTCCTTATTTCGTAAAATTGGCCAATCAGCAAGATGCAAAAGAGTGACGTGATAATAGGCCTTTTCGCATTCGCTCAGACACTTTTGTCACCCTGACAGATTTTCAGTCGTGGTTGTAAACAATACTTCATTAGTTTTAGGTTGTGTTTGGGAAATTTAATTAAGTATGGATGAAACAAATTAAGTCAGTCAGCATTTGCCTCCTTAGGAGTTATAGTTTTAATAGTAGTAATGAAAAATGAGTCTGAAAATAGCAGTGACAAAATAGGTTTAAATTTCTACCAGTATGCAACGATTTCTGCGAAAGATACACTCGTACACTCGTGACGCGTGCTTTCGACGAAACTGTTTACGTTTCTTGTGCTAAAATGAACGTCGAATGTGCATTTTGCGCTAACAGTACTGTAATCCCTCGCGTACTGCTCCAATTTCAAAAGTCACACTAACTTTTGTACTGCAAATGCGGATATTCATGTACGTATGTTACAAAAAAATTAAAAGGTCATCCGATTTAAATGAAAACTGCACAATTAGATAGATCTGAGTGAAAATAAGAAAATAATACCAAGTTTGAAAAAAAACGTTAAAAAAATATTGGAATTTTAGTACCGCCCGACAGGCCAATTTTTTTCATAAGGATTGTATTACTTTTTTGATAAGAACTGTCATAAATATGAAAAAAACACTAATCTTTCGATCTGCGTCACATCTATGGAATATTGAGACTATATCAGGATTTTATTCTGACAATGGTGTTTTACACCGCCGAAAGATCGTGGCAAATAAACGCTGGAGTTGTGCATCTTAGTTTGTCAGTGGTTCATTGGTAAATTGGTAAGTATCAAGATAGGAAAGAAATACACACGTCTACATAAATTTTATTGGTGTCTATGGACAATACCATTAATTTGCACTAAGTATAACTTGAGCGGAATTTTTGAAAGTTCGGAATGATGGGAAATTTATGCGCTAATGAAAAAAATCAAATACCAGATTATGTCAAAATTTTATGGAATTCTATGCTACAGCAAGCAGTCCGTAGTCGTTGTTATGAGCGATATTCCGACACGGCGTAACGGTACTTAGCAGACGTGATGCGGACATTTTTTGGCGCAAAAAGGCGAATTTTGTAACATTCCTAATTCATGACTGCAACGTTTTGATAACAGCTAAACTCAGGATAGTTGTCAAGATATGAAAATCTTGTATATTTGTTTTCCTAGGATGTTTGCGATCTATATCCTGCGATATAGATAGAATTTAATATTCAAGTCTTCAGAAATGTAGAATATATATCGTTAACAAATTGAATGGATTTCCCAACTTTTGTGAATTTATTGTAGGCCTATTGCATTGACAAAAATATTTGTCCGGCCCGTTTCAACACAGTTTGAGTCATACCCGGCCCGCGGTCAAAAAAGTTTGGTGACCCCTGTTTTAGAGCAAACAAAGTGCGATAAGAAACCAACATAACGATCTTGTGATTGTCGATAAATCTGCGGCCCAAGCTTGGGATTTATAAGAATACTATTTATTACAAGTGTATTAGCCCAGGGTATTTAAATACCAAATTACATAATGAAATACAGTTATAAATTTACAGATTACAGAAATAACACATGAAACCCATTTCATACATGTCTAGTACAATACATCCTACAATTGATCATAGATGGCCAAGGATATCCTCAGATTAAGTATATACTGTTGTTAGCATTCAAATACCACTGTGTCTAAATAATCTGGCTGTAATTATAGGTAAGATCTATAGTATAAATTTGAAAAACGCAGTAAGATAAGTAAGGTGGTCGCAATGAACCTCCTCTGGCTTTGAGTATTAGGGATATGATATTAGTATCAGAGGCAGGTATAGTATCATTTCTAAGTAGGGACAGTATTGGGTTCTTCTTCGACGAAAGACCATGAGCAATCAAATAGTTTACCGAGGGAAGCATGAATATTCTTTGTTTTTGTTAAAATTAAATGAGGCACGAGTTGAAATATTTAGATTTAAACCGAAAAATGTTATTATATGCTGATTTTGAACATCAATATTATTGTTAAATATATTATAAATAAATATAAGATATAACATATACCTAATTTTCGGTCGAATTCAACATTAAAATTATACACCAATAGATCTTGCCTACAAGAAAAGTTGATTATTGGTTATCATTGGAATAGGAGACATCTTTCAGATATCAGAATCAGATATTGTATCTGCAAGAGACAGAAAAACTTATGGTGGAGAACTAAATGATATAGTATTCAATTTGTTTTTCTGTCAGACTTCTGAAATTAAAAGGATCTGATTGAAAGCAAATATAGGGACAACAACACTGGAGCAAACATCGAATATTTTTTTATATTAAAAGTAGAATTTGTGGCAAATATACCAGTGAATTGTGAAAAACCTCAAAACGTGTCATAATAAAATTAATACTTTCATGTCGGCGTATGATTTTTGTTGATATTTATTTATATAATCATATTGTAAAATTATTCTTGCAATTTATTGAACTGTTGAGATCAAAAAGATTATTTGTAATGATGAAATGAATATTTTGTAGGCAGCGGTTTTATCAGTGTCTTTCTTATTGCTACAAAATTGTTCTTTTGTACACTCTTGCATCTTTGTGGTAGATTGGAAAGTTGAAATGGAATGTGTAAAACACAAATTGACAAGGATAACAATAGATAAGCATTACATCTGATAATTCACCACTTATTTTTTGTTACTTCGTGACCTGACAGCGATTACCCAGGCGGATATTCACATGAGTCTACTTGTTTCCTATTACATTGATCCTATTTTAGGCAAGAACAAGTAGTTGCATTTTACAGCTATGAAGGCTATTGTAACTTTTAATAAAAGCCATAATGAGTTCGGTATGATTAAATGTCAGTATTGCAGCGCCGCTTGATACCGCGCCTTATCTGCAAATATTTGTTCTATAAATGATTCGTTAGCATAAATGTTTTTCAAACTGCTAAAATATACTAGGGATATTATTAGTCTTTGTCACCTGCCCACGCAAAATCCATTGCAACGTAACTTCATCCTACCATATGTGTTCGAGTGATTCTCAACTTGTTGATCATGTACTTAAGATGTAGAGAGTTAAAAGCACAGCCCACGCAAGAACGTATAAAGGTAACATGAGCTATTTGATGAACTCTATACTAACTATTGTTTGTGAAATAGGCTTTTCGTCGTTACCTCGTTTCGAAGTTTTACTGCCTGCCTATACGTTCTGCGGTTGTTACATTAAATATAAAAAACTGTATGTAAATTTATCGGGTTCATATTATCAAAGCCAGAGAATAGCTAATTATCGACCCTATATTGTTATATTATTCAGATGAAACAAATATTTTATCCATAGATTATACATTATTATTATTACAACAAAAATTATGCCAGCGATAGGAATCGACTTGGGGACAACAAATTCTTGCGTGGCAGCTTTTCGAAATGGGAGGGTATGTATATTAAAGTTGGTTGAATATGGTAATCAAGAAATAGATTTACACGAATAGTTAGATATATGAATGGATATTATATGGTTATCCGTAGAAAGCTCTGTAAATAGCGGTTGTTTTTTGGTATTCCCGAAGCATGTGAACCAAGATGGCGGACACCGGAACGTAGTATGTGTACCAGGTTAGGGTTAGGCCATAATTTCAGGTACAAATACTACGGGAGTCACTTGACTAGTCTCCGAACTCGTAATAGAACTAAAAGAAGGAAAATTGGAATACAATTACGGCCTAACCTCAACCTGGTACACGTAACACGTTCCGCCGTCCGCCATCTTGGTTCACATACATCGGGAGTATAGTTTTTTGATATATTGTCCTATAGTAATCATTGCCAAGCTAATTGTAAAATAAAACTTAGAGAGAAAATTATGCGGATTAATTCTTGTTGATTTGGAGTGGATTATATAATGCATTAAACTGGGAACAGCTTTAAAGCTGAAAAAAATTGCTCAACATAATGACTATAGAAAACTTGGCCTAACAGATTGATAATATTTTTTTATCAGGTTGAAATTATCGCAAATGATTCAGGAAATCGTGTTACTCCGTCTTACGTATCGTTTACAAGGGACGAAAGATTAGTAGGTGAAGCAGCCAAAGAAGAGGAGACAACAAACTACGAGAATACGCTTTGCCGTAAGTATCCCTGTATCTCAGCGGTTTCCAAAGTTAACAGCGCCGCGAAAATTTACAGAATTGTTATTAAACATTTTATTTAATATAAATGTTTTATTGCTTCTTATTTTAAATGCTGTGTATATAAATAAACAGATTCACCTTACCTTTATATGTCATTTACAGTCTGTTACGTAGTGTTTGCCTCTATTTTACGTAACAATAGAGGTACCCACTACTTTCTGCAATTTCGCAAGCGGCAGTTTTTTTTATCTGCTGAACCGAGTTTAGCGAACATGAGTGAGTACTCTTTATTTATACATGTTCACAAACTTTTAAAACCATAAAGTACATATTAACGATAATAAAATTGAGTTCCATTTAAAGGCAGCAATTTTTTTCGTGCAAGTGCGCTGTGTGTTTTTTCCCTAAATTTGACGCCACACGAAAAAAAAGTTTTGGATCCGCTTCTGTATCTGATTCATTTAACAAACCTTTTTTGTCAATTTTGCGTCGCGATGGTCTCGTGGCTAAAGGTTTGGACCTAAATATGACTATTTGGTGTTGAAATCCCGTACCCATGCCATGAATCTGGGCAGAACAAAAAAAAATCTCCTTACGTAATAGTGGGTGTTTCTATACACAACATTATCTGAGTTAAGGCGGAAAGACGCCAGATAAACTTACGAAGATTAAACTTATGCCATATCTTGTGAATTGAAAATATTATCTCATTAATCGATGAAACAACAAATTAAACTAAACAAAAATGTTCAGAAACTTTAGTCGTTTTTACAATTTTGTCATATTCACGTAACAACCAGTGTTCACTTTCCACTGAGCAGAGTCTACAAACTATGTGAATTATATTACAACAGTATAATATATTATCAGAATTCGAACAAAGTACACTTTTAACTCGAAAACGTGTAATATTCCAGCTAGGCGTTAGAAAATATAACGAGTGATGCTTTAAAAACCAAGGTTGCAAACGCGGGAAATTCAAATTGTACTGCGCAAGTGGTCTGGTGGTACTGAGAAATGGCGCAGTTGCGCACCTTAGAGGGCACCTTTTTGGTCACAATTATTATCAACTAAAATAATTATTATTATGTTTTTAGAAATCAAGCGTTTGATTGGTCGAACCTATGATGATCCTTTGGTTCAAACTGATATGAAATTGTGGGGATTCACCGTTATTAACGATGGCAACAAGCCTAAGATACCGGTAAGTACCCGATGGACTCAGTACAAAATATTGGAAACTTAATCTACAAATCGATCGTTTTTCTAAATTCTTGTTGTTGTTCTTGACTCAGGAATAGTCAAAACTTAATATTTCACTATTCCGAATATATTCTGTTAGAATATTTTCGAATATGAAATAACGAATTATTTGCAACTGGGGGACAAGTTCATGTGGGAAGTAGGCTTGCACGTAATTGACAAAAACCAATTCCGTAATTACGGCAAAATCAATTACGTAATGACCCCGTAATTGCGATATTTTTCCACGCATTTAAACCTATCATAACAACCAATTGAATCCACTTTTTTTCCGAATGGGACATTGAAGTTGGGTTTTCCTATTCTTGGCAGTACTACACGCCGGCGGCAGATGTTAAAGACAACTATCAAGGGGTGAATTCAAATTAATTTTATTCTGATTTTTATCTTTTGTGTTAGCTTTGGTTTTTCTTTATCACCTTCGCAAATTAACCGTCCCATTTTTGTGCGATCAATTTTATTTTATCATTACCGACACTGGTATACGGATATTTATGGAAACGATAGTTTTTTAAAACCACCTGAGTACTGAATAAAAATTACGGGTTTCTAATTTATTAACCAACGACGAGCGTATTTTCTCATTTGATTATACTTGCGATTTCCTCGCGACGAAGACTTGTTTTTGCAGCGTTTTCTGCATTATCCGACATTACTGCCTTGTTAGCATTTTTATAATAATATTTATTGATGTCGACTTATTGACGATATTCCTATTACCATGCTTCATTTTACATTCAATCATTTCGCGGACTGAATGTTTATAACATTATTTGCGATAAATTTAGATCAAATATTATTTTTTTGCGTATAATTTAAATACCGAACTTATATGACATGCCTTCTCCGAAAATACAAAGTTATATCGCAAAACAATGCATTTTGTGACATTTATTTTACACTCACAACATTTATTTGCTAACTCAAGTCGGCGATCCAATCGGCCAAGATTGACAAAAGTTTGGTCGAGTGCCGGTGGTATTCAAGTCGACGATAAATCAAAATAAGTTGCCGCATTTGGTAAGACAGTTAATCATATATGGCCGAAATATTGAGAGGAATTGTGAAAAACATCATGAGCAAGGCCAAGTCTGGACTGATATATAACGATAAAACCGTTAACAGAACATCAAGATTTTGTAATAGAAAATGGATCTCGCACAGAATAAACACACAGGCTCATATTCGATTATATATGATAGCAGTTAAATTTTCAACGGTCCGCGAGGAATCCGTCGTTTTGGTTCATTACGCAATCTCTCTTTTGTCGTCATATTGCTATTTGATAAGCGCGACATTAATTATCACGGCGAGGTATTGGCGCGAGTGATCAATCGCTCTTTTCGCTTATTTGGTTCCAATTCGTCGCGAAATAAAGAATGGTTAAGCATTGCTAATCCACACTTGGTGGGGAATTCCCATTATTCAAACGCGTGACTATAAAATAGAAAACGGAACATATATACCATAAGTAACGGAAAACTGGAACAAGTAAATAATAAATAAAAGTAAAATGGATACAAATGTTTGATAGACCATGTTTGATAGATTGATCTCCTGCGTTCATTAGTCATTTCACCCGAAGAAGTTGAAACCGGGCGTGTTAGCGTCCATCTATCTTAACACAATTCTTCCCCCTATCTACGGTTATTATGTACATTGGCCGTGGCCATGCTAGATAAGATGCGAGAGAAGTTGAAACCAGGTGTGTTGGCGTCAATCGGTCTCAACGCAATTCTATCCCTTATCTACGGTTAAGTTGCGGGAGAAGTTAAAACCAGGTGTGTTGGCGTCAAACGGCCCTACTCAGTTCTTCCCCCATTAACTACGTTAATAATTTACATTGGCCACGCCAGATAAGTTGATAATAGGTTAGTAAATGGCAACGCGTCATGCCTTCCTTCACCTACGTAACAAGAGAGAGAGAAACGGCTGCGAATACCGGAACTCTAGCTTCTTCTACTTGTTGAGCTTTCATTTTCGCAATCGACGAAATTGGCTGCTTTGAAGAAAGCTCATTTCAATGCAATAATTACGACTTTACGTAATTCGTAACTTCCCTTCCGTAACTCCAAATAATTACGTAATTACGTAAATCCGTAAATTACGTGCAAGCCTAGTGGGAAGTTACATAAATTCCTAGATCTTCATGTTGATCACACCGAAAACGACATATGTATAAAGGTCATTGTTTTTATTATTTGTGTTTCGATATGTTTGGATGATGGCTCAAAATACCTAATTTTTAATCAAATTTTTTGAAATTATTCTTAAAAATTCAAATTTGACTTTTTATATGGTTATTATTATTAGTATTTTTTTAATTTTGATTCTTTTTTTCTCGGTTTTTAAATAAATTCAAAAATTCGCTATTTGCTATATGGAATTTAGAATGTATTTCAATATTCGATTCGTTTTGGACATCCCTGGTTCTTGTAGTAGACTACTCGATTTCAAATTTTCAGTCCTTATAAATTGTTGAAGCTACTCAAGGACTATTATTTCTCCCTTTTCAAATTTCCCCTGAATCTTATGTAACCCACAAATTCACGATAGAATTTGGTTTTTATACAAATATTGCGCCGCTTCGTTGCATTGTGGCAGACCAACCCGTCATCGTTTTGAAAAAGTCGATACTCATTGCTCTGCCGCGGCCTTACCGGGCATAAAAAAAAGTGTTGAGCGATGGTCCGGAGTCCAATTGAAACTATATCCGAATGCCGCTTTGCGTCTTATCGGGCTTTGCTGGGCCATCTCATTGGCAGGGAACTCGACGATCACTACTAACAATCTCCTTGCTGAGAGCGGGTAAAACAAAACCCGGGTTTGGCATTTTTTCCCAATATTCGCGAGGCGATCTTCGGGACCAGGTGAAGACAGTTTCATGTAATTCCCGATTTAAGTACTCTAACCCGGCAAATTACAGCCCGCGGGTCGGATCCGGCCCACCGGAGTGTTTCATCCGGCCCACTTGTGCCTGCTGAAATTATGACCATAGTTTTTAGGAATATAAATTTCCGTTGAAAATATCGATGATAATTTGGACCTGCAATTTTTTCGTGCGTTCGCCCCCCAGAACTGCGCGTAAAGTGTGCAAAACTCATGTGATCGTTTGAGACGAAACGTTAAATACAAACTAATTTCAGACTAGAAAAGAGTGCCTCGACAGAAATCTCTATTTTAAACGTGGTAAATCGCAAAAATTTCGGAATTTTCGATCGAAAACTTTAGCATTACCGCAATAGTCTAGAGTTGTAATGCTTTTGCTTTATCGTAATAAGTTGTAATAAATTATGGCCGACCTTAAGATTTTGCAAACGCTGATATCTTTAAAATATTCTTAATTGAGCGGCTCAAATTCTTAAACAAATTACCAAGATCGCAAAAATTAAAATCAATTCTTGTTATAGGCAGTATATCGCGTATTTTTACGTACGCAGATTGTAGTATTTCAGAATAGTATTACTTTCATTTTGGTAAAATTCGCCGCAACGGCGATTTACGTTGAAAATAATTAAATTAATATGGCGAGACAATTTTAATGCTCGAATCGGGCATGGACTGACTATTTTGCGGATAGAAAAATCATCATCGCTGAAAAAGTCGGAATATTGACGAATGGCGTAATCGCTGCGACTGTTTCCCCGTAAATGTACTGAAAATATAGTTTGCGCAAGTCATCTGGCATTTTTGACGAAGTAGAACTGTTAATTCTTTCGTTTCTAACATCATATTTGGAAAAAAAAAAAAAGGGGTCAAATCAAATCGAAAATGATGATGTTGATTTGAGATGATTTTGCACCCGATGAAAATGTCTTCAAATATTGAAAAAACCTTGTTGAAATTCATCCAACTTATTGAAATTATCATGCACCATATTCCCTGCTGCTAATACGTAATCATCTAAGTCAGCAACCTTTTTCACTGGCGGGCCAAATTCAAGTAACGGAGTGAAGCCGCGGGCCGCATCTTTATTTAATATAGACATTCTACTAGTAGTTACAAGCACAAAAATTGTTTATTTTTGCTAGTCACCTTACGTCATTATTAGGGTTTCTTGCAGAAATAGTCAGTTAAACGCATAAACTTCTAAAGGAACTGCTATTTAAGTTTATCGTCACACCGACTTAAATCCAATTCAGTGAAAAACACGTTTTTGTAATATATACCGTATATTTTTCAACAAAGTGTTGCTAGCTGGTTTTGCTAATATGACAGTGGCACTCAGGTTCTGATATAGGCTTTGTGGCGCAGAAGCATTAGAATTGCTCGCATGTACCAGATTATCTAAACTAAATACTCGTTTCGCGGGCACACCATTCAAAATTGTTATTTCTCCGCGGGCCGCACAAATATTTCTTGCTGGCCGCATTTGGCCCGCGAGCCGCAGTTTGCACACCCCTGATTTACATCATTAACACTCGCAACTTCGAAATCTCAGGTTACAATAATTTCATTCATAAACGACGGGAATTGCGTTGTGTCTAATTATTTGCCAATAAACCGTTTTTAATCATATTTAGTTTTGATCTCCCGGCCCAGTAATCAAGCCTATTATCCGCATCCGGCCCACTCAGGAAAGTAATTGCCCACCCATGCTTTAACCCCTTTCTCTCCGCTTGTTCCTCTCGCTCAGTTTGAAATTTCGTGTGTTTTAAAAACTAGATTCAATCTTCTGTCGCTGCGATCGATCCGTTTGCAGACGGTTTTCGACATGAGCGGAACCACGAGTGACTTGTAAAAAGTGTGGTTACGCAAACGAGACTCTTCCACGTGAACTGAATCTTGCTGAGACCCGATTTGATTCTCGTAGAAATCGGAACAAATCGGGTCTTCGTACTCGATGTGGTGTGCCTATTCGACAACGGCAAAACTGCCATACATTACGCGACCTGTTGGAAGCACTCAAAGTATGAACAGTTATGTCGCTTCGTCGCTATTGCTACTAGCAATGTCGGTTAATCTGTCTTCGCCCTCTCTTCAGTCACTGTATTCTTTTCTCGTCTTTGAATTTCTTTTTAATCAGTGTGTATGTGAGCTTGCGTGTGAGTGTTATAATTAAATTGATCGTAAACATCCGGTTAATTACCACTAGTGGCTACCGTTGCTGCGGTTAGTCATTGAAGTTTCGTGAGTGTGCAAACACTCATACATTCCTTTCTTTTTAATATATGATTATTTCAGGTAATCCAAAGCGACAAACGAAGTATATTATCTCCAGAACAAATAAGTGCGATGGTTCTTGAGGATATGAAAAAAACGGCTGAAGCATTCTTGGGTGAAACCGTAACTGATGCAGTCATTACAGTCCCTGCATATTTCAATGACGCTCAACGAAAAGCAACTAATGATGCTGGGGTAATAGCAGGTCTCAATGTTATTGGCATGATCAATGAGCCGACTGCGGCCGCTGTGGCATATGGTCTGGACACACAGGTAATACCTATCCATATGCTCTTTAGCGCCACCTCGCAAAATGGAACTCAAGTACATGCTTCTGAAAACATGAGTTGAAGTTCAAAGGCATTATGCGTAACAAACCTTCTATTTCGAAAATGATACATGCAAAATGAACTCATAAAATCGGCTTAGATATCTCAATTGGTATGCGAAAGTGTTAGATATCAAGTCTATTTAACATATTAGTTTTTATCTAAAATAATTTTCCAATGATGTCGTTTTATTATCTTAGGGTAAAATCAATAAAATTCCAATCCTTATCACACAGAGCGACAATGAACGGAATGTTCTCATATTTGATCTCGGAGGAGGCACCTTCGATGTAACCATCGTGAAAATTAAAGGCCGCAAGTTTGACGTGAAAGCAACGGGAGGTGACACTCACTTGGGGGGTAAGATGAAAACATATTTATTGCTTTTATTATAACTGAAGACATTTTGAACTCGTTAACCATATATATAACGATTATGTAGCGGTTTTTATTGGACACGTTTAGTGGACATAACGATCGTTTTGTTGTTATGTTGTTCTTGTTGTTGTTGTTCTTTGACACTTTTTGGATACCTAGTGGAAATATTAAAAAGCCGCTTTTCTCTTTGATCACTGGACCAATTGCTTTGAAATTTTTAGTGGTTAAAGATGAAATTTTCCTCCAGAAGGCTATTACTTTTATTTATTTCAAATATTTCTGTTAGCTCTGTGAGATTTGTTTTTGTTTGCTATGAAGTCATTAAACGTCTGCGGATATCGGACGCCATTTTGTGTCCAACGGCCCATCTTGCAATTTCAATTCACGCTGTCACAAAACAGGAACTTCTAAAGATAGGGAAGTTATGGTACCGTAACACAGCGCGGTGACACTAAACTAACTCGTAGCTGTCAAAAGCTTGAAAATCCTTACAAATATAAGAGATAAAAAGATGAAACTTGTCAGGTGGGTAGAGTTGTGTTTCTTTTAACCATATTTGAAGGTTTCGCGTTTCTACATTTAAAGGAGGGGGAATAGGGGGGTGCGCATTTCCGATACGTCGGTAATATCTTTGTCAACCAATTTGCGACCACAGTGTTTTTGTCTGTTTGATTGCTGTGATGTGGTGCTTTGTTTATATTTTGACGAGTTTTGTACGAAATAACCGTGTTCTCAAAATATATGACGGTCAGAAATGCAATTAGAAGCCCAATGTTTTCACGCTGTCACAAGACAGGAACTTCTAAAGATAGAGAAGTTCTGATACCGTAACACAGCGCGGTGACACTAAACTAACTCGTAGCTGTCAAAAGCTTGAAAATCCATACAAATATAAGAGATAAAAAGATGAAACTTGGCAGGTGGGTAGAGTTGTGTTTCGTTTAACCATCTTTAAAAGTTTCTTCTCTCCCCCGGGATAAATATGTAAATCCTATCCTGATACGTCGATAATATCTTTGTGTTTTTGTCTTTTTGATTGCTGTACGGCTGCGTATGCCATAGTCTCGACGCAGCAGAAACGATGTTCAAGGCTTGAAATCCGCGGTCGCACACTGGTCGTTCGGTCGCGGATACGTCTTCCAAGTGTCGTACTTTGGTGGTTTGTATAGCTTCAACCCTTGGTCGGAGAAAGTTTATTTGAGGTTCAGCATGTAGAATAAATGCCAATGCACCCACGATGAAAAAGTTAACGGGTTAGAAATATTGGTTTTTGTTTTATAGCGGTTTGAATGAAATCGTCAGCAGACTGGCTACACCACCCTAGGTCTGGTGTGTTGTCCGTGTAGTCGAATTGTCCATCAGCCCTAAACGGCTATGACAGTCACTGTACCGAAATTTGTCCCCCGATTCGGGTGGTGTTGAGTTGACGCATGTTATTTAGTAAAGTTTTTATGTGAAATGTTTGACTGTGGTTCGGTACCTGATCCGATAATACGGTACATAATTGACTCATATCACGAGATATTTCGACTGATGTTTCAATATAATCAAGAAGAATGAATCATTGTCACAGGACCTAAAATATCTATGACAGTCCCTGTACCGTCACGGCACCCCGATACAGGTACTGGTAAGTCACCGCATATGATTTTTGGGGAATTGTCCTGCGTGGTCATATATTTGAGCATTGCACTCTTGTTATAATTACGATCAATCTCGTGTTTTTGAGATTTTTCTCCAATTCCAACTCACGTCTTTCTATGCAGGTGAAGACTTTGATAACAAACTCATGAAGCATTTCGTTTCTGAGTTCAAAGAAAAACACGGTGAAGATATTTCAGAAAACAAAAGAGCATTGAATCGTCTTCGAGTGGCGTGCGAAGGAGCAAAAAGAAAATTGTCAACGTCAAAACAGACCAAGTATGTTATAGTTCAACATTATTGCGCTAAATTACTATTATTACCTGTATTTATTTGTAAAATATTTTTAAATTCAATTTACTAAACCCTGGATTAAGTGGTATGCTGTATGCTGAAACTAGTAAAAAATTGGTTTAGTTTGATACCGGGATTATTTACAACGTAGTTAACTAGATGATTGAATGGTTTGGAAGGCTCGAACATACTGATGTCGTGATTTTGTTTTCGAAGGGTTCAACTCGATGTTCTGCAAGGAGGATATGATTTTAGCAGCACTATTTCAAGGGCAAAATTTGAAAATCTGAACTGCGATTTTTTTGATAGAGTTTTTGATACGGTGAAAAAGACTCTTTCCGATTCCGGACTTAAAAAGAAAAATGTGAGACATGCATGAAGCATTAGCAAATTTTAAACATTCGATTTCCTATTAAGTTCTGTGTATTCCACTCAATTATTAGACTCGAAGTAGATATGTAGTTCGCTTTAACAACTTTCTTGTTTTTGACATTTCCTTTCCAACTTCTGTAGACATTTCGCTTTCGGTACTTGTAGATGGAAATATCCCCTATTATTTATGTTGGTTTTCATACTCCATCTACGCTGCAAGGGGCTCGTTCTTTTTATTTGATATATTGTTAATTTTGAAAAACCAACTATTACAATATCTATATATTTCTTATTTTATTTATATTTTATTTATATATTTCTATTTATTTCTTAGCAATAGCCTATTGATTTTTATCTATATAAAAGCGCTTCTGAACAAGATATAGTTCTGACTATTTTTTTATACTGAATAAAATAGCTATATTCAGAAAGAAAACCGTACACTCCATCGTAAATTATTGATATACAACTCTTTTTTATCACCAAAATTTAAGGTAAGGCAATACAAAATTAATAAACAATTAAAAAGCGTTTTAATCATTGTCTAATATGCCACTCAATTTTATCATATTAAATATATTTATCCAAAATACAAATAGTATTTGCTACGTTATAGTCACTATTTTAATCATTTTTTGAAGCACTTTTCTTTAATGCAGAAAATCTCGACTTTTTAGATTGACGACGTTGTTCTTGTCGGAGGCTCTACGCGAATTCCAAAAATTCGGGAAATGTTGGAAAAGTATTTCGACAACATGGAGCTTAAAAGAACTATCAATCCTGACGAAGCAGTTGCTCATGGTGCAGCCGCATACGCGTTTTCACTTGGTTCTGTGAAAGATCCTGCAGTAAGTTGCGTTTTACTTTAACATTGTACAACGAACCAAACTTAATATTTTTCACACATGCTTGGTAGTTGACTGAATGCCCTTTCAGCACGCACAAAAATCTACATAGGCAGCCGTTGGGATATTGCACTCATTAGATTACATTCGTTTGAATTAGCTTCTTATCGATAATGTCAGTAATATTTCTATTGTTATTAAACTTTTAAAGGTTACTTTTTCATTGATGTGAAAACGAGGATATCGGTCGGAGACCGAAGACTTATCGATCGAAACTGCGGTTCCGATTCATGACTCTATAGTGACAGCGCGTATCCCATCAATAATTAATTAATAACTCGCTAACTATACGACATAACACACAATAGGCTTCTGGTCCGAGATATGATGAATGCACATGCAAAATTTGGAGCAGATTCAACTACGCCTTCGTGAGATATCGCGTGCATCTAACAGACATACAAACAAATACCTATCAACATACTTAACGATCATAAGATCGATATGTAACAACCCTGCAACGGCTCACTTTAATGTGAAGTCAGAAAAACCGTTTAAAGCGCAACGTTATAAATTGCACAGCAGAAGAATGCTTATTATAGAATCTGTCTTATCCATATTAGGAAATCAGTACAACGATGCCTACAAAAAGAACAAATTATGCCAAATCCTGAACAGTAAGTAATATTGTGGTTAAACCGTAACAGCCTAAAAATGCAATTATTTCAGCTGGAGGAATTCGCTCTTGAAGATGTTATCCCAATTTCTATCGGCTTCCAAGAGAAAGGTGGGATCATGCTTTTTTCAATTATGCGGAACACGAAGATTCCCACCAAAGTGAGGGAGAACCTAGTGACAACGATAGATAACCAAGAAAGTATGGAATTTAAGGTTCGTATAAATGAAACGATATTGGGTATGTGTGGGAGAACCAAGTGACAGCGGTAGAAAATCAAACAAAAATGGCATTGAAGAAGCGTCCATATCAATTGTGATAAACAAAACAGGGAGTTATAGTATAAATATATATTCACTAATTTTAAATGTAATATTGTAGATTTATGAAGGTGAGCGCACTTTGGTCAAAGATAATCATTTTCTGGGGAAATTCACTATCTCGGGAATTACTCCCGCACCAAAGGGAAAGGGGAGAGTTGGAGCGTTAATTGAAATTAACGCGTGTGGAATTCTTCATGTCAAAGCGATTGAGGAAATCACAGGAAATTCAAGTGAAATAACGATTGCAAGAGACAAAGGACGATTGAGTGAGAGCGAGATAAAACAAATGGTAATCTAATAAATTTTTTAACTTTAGTTAAATTGCCAAACGTAGGAAAAAATATATAAAGAAATTAGTTAGCAACGAGCAACGTAATCGTGTATAGTGTTAAGTATCAAGTAACAAGCTCAAAACAAATTTTATTTCTAAAAAATGCGCGAAGACAAATCACACTATTTTACCATTAAATTGGAACGTATATCTAAATATTGTATTAAAAGTGGCGGAACAAAATTGCAGTAGGATTAAGACTCTACATCAATAGGATAACAAACTGGACTCCAAGGATAGAATCTGCAATAATTCAGCTAATTCAGCCATCATCAGGATTTTGCCATGAGAATTTCTCATTTGAGTCCAGTGTTGCTTGAGCACAAGAACGTAAATTTTCTATTAAGGTGCAAGAAGCGGAGGAATTTAGAAAAAAAGACCAAGAGCTAAAACAGCGCATCGAGGCAATGAATGATTTTGAAGATTACGCGTACAGCATAAAGAAACAAGTGGATCAAAGGCTGTTTACCAGAAAGCAGAGAAATTCTTTGACGAACAAACTCACTGAAATTTTTCAATGGCTAGATATAAACAAGGTGGGTATTTACCAGATTCTGATTATACGTTGGACGTTGAATTAGACGGACAGTGCATTGCAACGATTGGATAGGCTGTTAATAAAACCTCTACGCAAAAACAGTGCTTTTAACAAAACATCGGACAAGCCAAAAAAAGGTGTACATTATTCCTTGTTGTAATATTTTACCGGTCTAAAGATTTTACCGGTCAGAAAATATTTGTGTGCTTGTAAAAACATGAACACTGATTTTTATGTTTTTCTCAAATTCAATTGTTTCAAAATCTTGACCGTCCCATCCCTCATGGGATAAATTACGCAATGAGCAGGAGAAGAGACTCTGTAATTCTTTTTATGCGTGGCCCTCGTGAACGCATAATTGATAACAAACAGTTAAGTCATTTATCATAGTTCGTACATTTTTAAATTTATACATGACAAATTCAACATGTCACTTTTTTCAGAAAGAACCTCCGGAAATATCTCATGTGCAAGCGAAGAAGAAGGAATTAAAGAAATTATTTACATAGGTTAATAACATGGAAATTATTATATTTGTTGATTTTCCAACCAATTCCTATGACTTTGCATTTGCATATACTGAAGATTGTTATTAAACGATAACATGACTAACGTGAATTCAAAAGTATGTTAATGGACATAAGACTCACATTTTGTAAATATTATTGATATAACAATTGCTATCTCTTCAAGTACTTGACCAATAGCGTTTCAAGTTTCAGTGAGGTAAAATGACTGTTTCATTCTTGTTTTAAATTTTTCACGGGATGAAATCCGTTCCTACTGTGCCCGATTACCCGTTTATTAGTCCTTGTGGCAAGTAATCTGATTTTTAGCTTAATGATTGTAATCAAGTTATACTAACAAACGTTTCATAGCTCTCTTGCTTTACTAATTATTAACTATATTCATTCTAATTGTATTCCTTTGAACATTGTCAATAAATATTCGTTGAATGAAACATATTGAAATATCTTTAAAGCAAATTGATAATTATTTAGAGATAGAGTATATTCATATACGGAAATAAAAACAGGGTTACTCGTTGCGTAATAAAAATTATATAAAATAATTAATAATAGATGAAATTGCTTTTCTAACGGATCATTATATAAATAAGGTTTCATTTAGTTTTGATTTTTTTATCTTGAATTATTTAAAGCTCAAGCTAAGGGTTGCTCTGTGTCAAATGGTGTTATTTATTCTGCCTGTAATAGCGCACCGTCTCAGATTTATGGAATGATCATTTAAATAATAATCTAAAATGTTCACTACATTTGGTGGCTTGTTTGACACAAATCCTAATAATTTTATGTTACTGTAATGCAATATGAACACGGACAGTTTCATCGCGAATGCTATTGAACTAAAGAATCATATGTGGCATACCCTATATTTTGTTGAGATGCCCATCCAATGAATTGTGACGCCATATTCGGTATCTACGTATGATGAAAACTGCATTATGTCGTTATAATGAATTTTCTTGGGTATGCGTAAACAACAAAATTGCAATTACATGCAAAATACCGATGCTAATTAAACAATGTGCGAATAATGTGCAATGTGTAATTATGTGCGAGAAGATGGCTGGACTCCTCGCTGCTGAAGGGTGGTTCACGTTAGCGCTGTGCGGTTACGGCTTACTCCACCATTTGGTTCTTGCTTCTGAAAAAATTTGAGTGAGCTCGCTTTTTCAGCTAAGCTGTCAACAGGCTTTTAAGTTCACAACAATGATAACATGCCCGCCAATACAATTTTGTTAGTCTCAACGCAGCATATAAGAGGAGCATTGCGTGTTCAGTGTCTTTTGCAGTTGTAATAAAAATGCACCTTTTATGAATACAATTTATACAGTCGAGAAAAAGTTGTTTCATACTCTGTACTCATCGAGATACAATTATGTCTCAAAAAGTAATAATATCAACATTTTAATTGGTTATCCATTCTCAATAAAGGCGTCGTTATGAAGACTTACAAACGAGATAAAACTTACTAAATCACATGAAAAAGCAATTAGGTTCATCAAACTTCGTATATTACAATATACTTCAATATTTGCTATCGATTAGGTTTATGCTAACTACTTATTATTCTTTGCGTCGGCGTAAGAGCAAAAATACTTGAACAAGAGTTATTTACGCGCGTAGCTAAACATCAAGATGTTTTTCGTGTGCGAAAGTTTTCTATTAATATTTACGCGTGTAACGAAATATGGACTCTATGTCTTTACGTTTAATTGCAGCTCGATTACATTTCCAATGAATATGAAGCCTCTAGAGACGCTAGAACTGTACTTTGTGATCTGGAAATTCGCATGTCATATTTTAACTTTATTTCGCGTCGGTTTCGCGCAAGTATTTTCCGTAATAACTCAAATGGTAAAACAAGTCCTCAAGATTCTCATAGTAAAAATTTAAAAAATAAAAATAGAAAAATTAACTCTACGTCGTTTACTTACTCAAATACTGTACTGAAATATTATCCGCTGCCTATTGTTGCGATCACGACAATGTTCCGCGGCAACAAGTAGGATACAGAAGCATAGACAAACACGAAGTCTTCTTTCATATTAACATTCAATTGCAGTCTGAAAATATCACAATGGTTGTCTCTGCATTTTATGGGATTCTCTGCAACCACGACAACAACAACAATTTTGCAAAACAATTTATAGATCCGCTAATTAAAACAGATATGGTCTAGATCAGAAGTGGGCACGGTTTTTGGACCAGGGCCCAAAACTTATCGCCAACTAGACTGGCGGGCCATGTGAGTGTGACGTAAAAAAGGTACATTTTATAAACAATATTTACAGTGTTACAAAAGCAAAAGTGGAAAACAATAATCCCCGCGCCAAAACTAAATTTAATCCCAATCTCAACAAATTCCTCGAGCTATTTTTCAGATAAAACATCGAAATCTAGTTTTACTTGGGTTGTAGCGGCATTAGACGGGTCAGATTGAATTACCCAACGGGCCGAATTTGGCCCGCGGGCCGTACTTTGCCCATGTCAGGTCTATATTCTTTACCTAGAGCAGTGTTTTCAATTCTCACCAAAAACTTAAAATTGATTTTATAGTAAATTTTATTGTTTATCTTGTATTTGGCGTTGGCGTTGCTAAGTAGTAATTGCATAATATGTGAAGCATCACAGCGTAAAATTTGGCAGAATCTATTTTGCTTAACTAAAGACACGCCACAATTTTAAAACTCGCTGAAAAGAAATAAAGGGCAAGTTTCTCACTTTGAAGTAATTTCTGGTAAAATAAAAGCTTTAATTCAGCGTGTTGAAATATATTTTCACACTGTACATACAGAGTGTAAAAAGTGAAGACGCGAAAAATACAACACTCGGAATGATAGAAAGAAAAGGCTGAAATATGTATTTTGGGACATAAATATTTTGCATGACGACTTAAATTATCTGCATACGGGACGCGTAAGTTTTGTACAGTTATATAATCAATATTGTTTGCATGTCGCGATAGATAAACGTTGATCCGTATGACGCCGAAGCAAAGATAGTTTTCAGAGCAAACAAAGTGCGATAAGAAACCAACATAACAATCTTGTGATCGTCGATAAATCTCCGGCCAATGCTATAGTTAGAAGAATACTATTTATTTAGGCGTATCAGCACAAGGCTATTCAAATAACAAATTTAAAATAATAATACACAGTTGTAAATTTACAGGTAAAAGAAAGAATAAATAAAACCCATTCCATACATGTCTAGTACAACACATCCCACAATAGATCAGATATGGCCAAGGATTCTCAGATTCACCACGTACTGTTGTTTACATTCAAATACCACTGGGTTTAAATATTCGTACTGTACTCATAGGTAAACCCTATAGTATAAATTAGTAGAACGTAGTAAGATAGAGGGTCGTACAGGCTTCGAGTTAGGGATGTAAGTTTCGAATATTTTATTTTCGAATCGAATTCCTAACGAAATGTTCCGATTCGAATAGTTCCGAATCAGATTCTATTTAGTATAACATTAAATTATCGTTAACTTTCTTTAAATTTGGAAGAACTATAGCATAAATTGTGATTTAATAAGGTGACCGTACATTTGAACCCACGGAAATTAGAACCCATACATTTGTACCGGTATATCAGCGGGGTCAATCTATATGCGGGTTCTAAAATCCAGGGTTAGGGTTAGTATGGGTTCAAATATCCATAAATTAATAATTTCCATAGTTGCAATAGTATGTAGGTGCAATTGTCGCGGGTTCAAATTACGGGTTCAATTGTCCGTGGGTTCAAATGTAATGGAACCATTAAATACCAATAATGAACTTGAAGAATGACAGAATGAGTAAAGTAAGTAGAAGAACACATTGAATTGATGCTTCAACTGCATAATATATTAGAGAATATTTATTTTTATTACATGGAGTTACACTCAGTTATACATTTATGTTCGTAAACAATACCGAATGTATGGTGATCGTTTCTTCTAAAATTAACATTCAAAAAAATATGCCGTGATTTTAAATAAAGCAAATGATAACGAGAGAAGCATCGCAGACTCATGTTTTTAGTGAGGAATAATGTTGTTATTATAATGACATTACATATGTAATTTAAAGACATGTTTATATCATGGAATCTTTGTAAAACTTCGTAACATTTTAAATAGTCTAAAAAATTTACAAAATCATTGGTTCTTCTGAAGCTGTGACCCATATGGTATACTATACAACGACCCCTGGAGTTTAACGACTTGGGAACGCTGTAAACGTTGGGAAAATAAACGCTTCTGGTCGATGATGAGATAACGCCACCATACGTCGTGCAATCACCTCGTCTAAATTATTATTATTTTTTTAAATAGAATCAAGTCGTTTTTTATCAAATTGCTTCGAATTGATGTTGATTCGAATCGCTTCGAAATTCTTAAACTAACATCCCTAGTTCGAGTATTAGGGATGAGGTATTAGTATCAGAGGCGGGTATAGTGTCATTTATAAGTAGGGACAGTATCGAGTTCTTTGACGAAAGACCGTAAGCAATCAAATAATTTACAAACAGAAGCATGAATATTCTTTGGTCCACTTATATTACACGAGACTCGTATAGTCTATCTGAAATATGGCGAATATATTTGAAATATTTAGATTTGAATCCAAAAAAATTTGATATGTATGTACTGTTTGACAAGGATATCAAGAGATAAGCATTACATCTGATAATTCACCACCTATTTTTTGTTACTTAGTGACCTGACAGCGATAAGACCAGGCCGATATTCACATTAGCCTACTTGTTTCCTATTACATTGATCCTATTTTAGGCAAGAAAAAGTAGTTGCATTTTACAGCTATGAAGGCTATTGTAACTTTTAAATAAAAGCCATAATGAGTTCGGTATGATTAAATGTCAGTATTGCAGCGCAGCTTGATACCGCGCCTTATCTGCAAATATTTGTTCAATAAATGATTCATTAGCATAAATGTTATTCAAACTGCTAACATATACTAGGGATATTATTAGTCTTTGTCACTTGCCCACGCAAAATCCATTGCAACGAAATTATTTCGTATCTATGTGTTCGAGTGGATCTCAACTTACCGAGCATGTATCTAATATATAGAGTGTTAAAAGCACAGGCCACGCATGATCGTATAAAGGTAACATGAGCTATTTGATGAACTCTATACTAACTATTGTTTGTGAAATAGGCATTTCGTCGTTACCTCGTTTCGAAGTTTTACTGCCTGCCTATACGTTCTGCCGTTGTTATATTAAATATGAAAAAACTGTATGTAAATTTATCGGGTTCATATTATCAAGGCCAGAGAATAGCTAATTATCGACCCTATATTGTTAAATTCAGAAGCAACACATATTTTATCCATAGATTATACATTATTATTATCACAACAAAAATTATGCCAGCGATAGGAATCGACTTGGGGACAACAAACTCTTGCGTGGCAGCTTTTCGAAATGGGAGGGTATGTATATTAAAGTTGGTTGAATATGGTAATCAAGAAATAGATTTACATGAATAGTTAGATATATGAATGGATATTATATGGTTATCCGTAGAAAGATGCGTGAATAGTGGTTGCTTATTTCAATATATTGTCCCACGAGTAATCATTGCCAAGCTAATTGTAAAAGAAAACTTGGGAATGAAATCATACGGCTCAATTCTTGTAGGGCTGGGCATTTCGAATCGAATATTCGAATCGAATAGTAAAATATTCGAATCGGTTTAGAGCAAATTTTCGAATTGCCGCCATCTTGTTTTACTGCCAATGGTCGAGGTAAATTTCTCAATTTTTTTTTCATTGAAGCCTTATTTTTTCAACACAATTCTGACTTATGACTCTTTTCTGTATTGAGGTATTGATGAAAACGTTTTTTTTTTTATTGTCAGTGATGTATTCTATGTTTTCAGTAATTTATGTGTCTGGAGGACCTAAAATACTAAGAAACTCACATACAATTTCATACCTTCCAAGTATTCGAGATTCGATTCTATTCGAAAAAATTATTCGATTCGATTCTGAAATCATCAGGTATTCGAAAATGCCCAGCCCTAAATTTGTGTTGATCTGGAGTGGATTATGTTTATCCTAGAAAACTTGTTAACTTGGGCGAACGGATTAATATTAATTTTGTATCAGGTTGAAATTATCGCAAATGATCGAGGAAATCGTGTTACTCCGTCCTATATATCGTTTACGAGTAACGAAAGATTAGTAGGTGAAGCAGCTAAAGAAGAAGAGACGACAAACTACGAGAATACTCTCTGCCGTAAGTATCCCTGTATCTCAGCGGATTCCAAAATTAACAGAACCCCGAAAATTAAAAGAATTGTGTTGAACCAATGAGTGTAATATATTCTCATTGGTTGAACATAACTAATATATGATTGGACATTTTACATCACATTTTATTCAATATAATTGTTTTATTGTTTCATATTTTAAATGCTGTTTATATAAATAAATTCATTTAACTTCCTATGTCGTTTACTTTCTGTTACGTAGTGTCTGCATCTATTTTTATGTAACACTAGAGGTAGACACTACTTTCTGCAGTTTTGCGAGCTGCAGTTTTTTTTTATCTGCTAAACCAAATTTAGCAATCATTTAGTATTTCAAAGTAAAATCAGGCAGAGTGAAGGAAAAAGAGTTGACAATGCTTTTATTATTATCATAAAGTGCATATTGATGATCACAAAATTGAGTTTCATTTAAAGTCAGCAAAATTTTTTCGTGCAAGTGCGCCGTGAATTTTTCCCTTAATTTGGGGCCACACGAACAAAAAGTTTGGAAACCACTTCTGTTTCTGATTCCATTAACAAATCATTTTTTATAAATTTTGCAGTGCGATGGTTTAGCGCAGGGGTTCCCAAGCTTTTTACAAGACGACCCCTAAGACAACTTTCAAGTGTCCAGTGCGACCCCAGGGCGATATATATTTTTCATGAAACTTTACAGCTTTTTTCACTGGACTTTTGAGTTTGGCCATGTGGTGGTATTACGTAAAATAAGCTAAAACCAAACAGTAATGTCACAACAAGCACCTACATTTTCTCTGGCATAAGCATAGAGCAATGCCTATGGCGTGTTTTACAGTGAGCCATGGTGCAAACTGCTAAATTTAACATGGTTTGTCAAATCTTACATCCATCCTCTACGTCTACCATACCTCAGCAACCCCACCGACCCCATGACCTGTTTGCGACCATTCCTACTTATCACTCCGACCCAATTTGGGGTCGCGACACCTGGTTTGGGAACCCCTGGTTTAGTGACTAACGGTTCGGACCTAAATATGTTGCCAATACGATTTAGCTATTCGGCATTGAAATCCCGTACTCATGCCGAACCTGGGCAGAACAAAATCATAATAAGTTCTTACGTACACTTTTAACTCGAAAATGTGGAACATTCAAGCTAGGCGTTAGAAAATATAACGAGTCATGCTTTGAAAACTAAGGTCGCAAACGCGGGAGATTCAAACTTTGCTGCGCAAATGGTCTGGTGGAACTGCGCAACATTGGTCACAACCAGTGGCGGCGCGTGGTCATTTTGACAACCGGGGCAAGCTACTGCGGGACCAAGTCACCCCCATCTACGGGGACAGGATGAGCGCTGTAAGTTCTCCCATCATTTTATGAGTATAAAAACCATTCCATCGGTAACAACCAATCGGCAAAAGCGACAATTTTTAACGATAAGAAAGTGTCTTTATGACCGGTCCAAGTCAAGAGATTAATAAATATAGACATAGTTTATTTTGAAACCTGTTTCAAAAGAAAAGGCAATATTTACCCAGATAAATACAATGACATATTAACAGAAACTTCGGGAAAGCAGACAAAACCTAAAATAAGGTTTAAAACGTTACTATGAAGAAAGGAAAGGTAATGCTAAGATAAGGACATGCGTCGCTCACTCATAGATATATATGCTGCTAGACTTCTACTGCTTGAACATATATGCAACACGCCGCGGTTTCTTGGAAGCAAAATGCTCAATAACGCGCTGATTAAAGTCATGCATCCCAGAAATAACGTCTCTGTGAATGGATAAAATAGCCAAGGAATTGAATCTATCTTGCTTCATTGTGTTTCTGAGATACGTTTTAATACGCTTCAGCGTGCTGAATGTTCGCTCTGCGTCGGCGGAAGAAATAGGCGTCGTCAAAATGATGTCCAGAAATTTTGCAGACGCCGCAAACGTAGTTACTAGAGTGCTATCTATGAGGAACCTATAGAGCGCGCAAGTTGATGTGATGTTCAAAAAACTTTGATTGGTGTATATACATCGCAATTCATTTTCCAATTTACCCACGTTTATCATGGGGTAAAATTTGGAGACAGTGGCCAACAAATGGATGGGAAATTGACGTGCAAATTTTGAAAAGTTTTTGGGGTTCATCAAAGAGAACGCGCAAGGTGTTCAGTGCGCAGACGATCGCCTATTTGATTCACCAGAATGTCACAGCATTCCTTTGCAGACAAAATCAAACGCTGCGTTGTTTGCCCGCGGCGTAAAGAAGCACTCCATGTGTCGTCGTATTTTATTGTTTCCCGGATACGAGATACAGCATCGCAGAAGTCTGAAATACACGACTGCACAGACGCTCCATCCATTATCCTTGACTGCAATGCGCCGTATAATACATCCACGTGATAGAATATTGTGGAGAAACAATGAAAACTCACCATCTTCTAGCAGACGCTTTAGACCTGCCGCCTCCCTCACAGAGCGTTCGTCCCAAACCGGAGAGCTCTGAATGCCATTGAAACACACAATGAGCTCAGACCTAATTTCGGATACGCCCTGCACCACGCGTGATTGGAAGTTCCAACGTGTTGGTGCACAAGCTGGGAGACGGCGGCTACATATCTGGCGAAGGAGGTCAGAGCGCTTCGGCGAAACGGAAAAAAATGAAGAAAACCCCGGAACATTTGCAAAAAATATACGGACGAGAGGGGTATCAATACACATATTTTTAATAACGAGGTTAAATTGGTGTGCATAACAATGTAAAAAATGCGCATGAGGAAAATCTTCTTTTATATGAACTTGAACACCATGTTTCGACCCACTCATGACTGCCGCGCCGTCATAAGTTTGAGCTATCAATTTTGACTTCGCGTTGTAAGGCTGTAACACTTCTTTCAGTACAGCCGATATCCCGCAAGCCGTGCGATCAACGATTGGTACAAAGCTGTGAAATCTCTCGGTAGGTTTACCATCTTTCACAAACCGAAAAATCACAGCCAGTTGGGAAACGCACGTGATGTCTGTTGTCTCGTCAGACTGAATCGAATGGAACTGGCAATTCTCAATTTCCAGAGCCAAATGTTGTAAATAAATTTTATACATTGAGTCGAGCAAATCATTTTGGATATCCTTAGATGTCCCTTTCGAAACAGTTGCGGCATCAAGATGATCTCACAATACTGTATCTAGGGATGCGGTGTATTCCACCATATCCAAAAATACCCCTCTATTAGAAGAGCCAGCCCGTTCATCGTGCCCACGGAGGGACAGCTCGTGACAACCAATGAACTTCAAAACATCTATCAATCGACCGAGAACATGGCGGTTTTTCTCGACGTTTTGGTTGTGCCGACGAATAGAAACCGCGCGTCCTTCATCCAACTGTGCTGCAATATTAACATTTCCGAATGTTCGGTATTTTACTGCATTGTCCAGATGCTCCATAGAAGATTGATGATCCCTGGCACGCTCGGAAAGATGTTTAAGATCTCTAAAACCAAATTTACACCAACGTGAGTCACGGGCGGTAGCAAAAAGTAGGCAATAAAAACAAAAAAGTGCATTTTTGTCCTCGCTGTAACACAACCATTCGTGTTTTTTATACCAAGTTTCTGCGCAGAATGTACGCCGACGCTTTCCTCCGTCATGGGATTGTTCCAGTGAACAATTGTTTGGTTGATAAGGCCCAAGACGTTGTACCTCTAATTTTTGTTCCAGCGGCAGCTGCGAAAACGGAGTGCGAAGTAGTGCATCAACCTTATTCATTATGAGGTCTAAGGCTAAGAAATGCGAAGCCGGAAAGAAGTGAGGAGCTCAAAAGGAATGTGGAAAATCGAAAGCAAATGGACTAAAGGTCTCTAACTGATTCAAATAGCGAAACAAGCGACAAAAACGAAGGCGAGGAAACTATCAACTCTTCAAGCAACCAACGAACGAGAATGCGTGAATATGTCAACACGTTGTTGTAAGAAACGTCGGCATTGTGTCGTCATAATTTCGGGGCTAGCCCCGATCGGCCCCGATGATTTAGTGAAAGAAACAGAAAACAAACGAGACAAACGCGGCGAGTGGAAGATAAAAGAGAGAATACGATATACAATGAGCAACCGGGGCAAAATCGGCGTCGCCCCGTCGACGTTCGGCGAAGGCTTTGCGAGCGAAAAATGAACCATGTCGGGAGAATATGGCTAGTGTAGACAGTCTGTGCAACCGATATTGAGGTATTTTTCGAATATTTTTTATTATACCGAAAAAACAACCGGGCCAATGCCCCGGTTGGCCCTATTGACGCGCCGCCAACTCACAACTATTATTGACTAAAATAAATATGATTATGTTTTTAGAAATCAAGCGTTTGATTGGTCGAACCTACGATGACCCTGCGGTTCAAGCTGATATGAAATTGTGGGGATTCACTGTTATTAATGAGGACAACAAGCCTAAGATACCGGTAAGTAACCGATGAAAGCAGTACATAATATTGGACACTTAGTCTACATATCGATTTTTTCTTTGATTCTTGTCGTTGTTTCGGGATTGTTCTTGTCTCAGGGATATCCAAAACCGATTATTTCACTATTTCCGAACATTTGGGGTGAAGTTACGCAAATCACAATGTTGATTACATCGAAAACAACATAAGTATAAATATCATTGTATTTTTTTTTTATCTGTGTTTTAATCTGTTTGGCTGATGGCTCAAAATACACAGTTTTAAACAAAAATTTCCAAATTATTCCTAAATTCAAAAATTTGCTATATCGAATATATTGAATTTAGAATCTATTCGATTCGTTTTGGACATCCCTGCTTTTGAAGTCGACTACCCAATTTCAATTTTTTAGTCCTAATAAATTGTTGAAGCTACTTGAAGGCTATTATTTTTTCTTTTCCAAATTTCTTCCGAATCGTATGGAACCCGCTAATTCTCCTCTACTTGACAATGAGGCAGAAAATTCCGTTATCGTTTAGAAGAAGCCGGAGGTCATTGTTCTGTCGCGGCCTTACCGGGAGTAAGATAAATTATCAAGTGTTGAGAGATTGGCCGGAATGCAATTAAAACAATTCAAATTTCGCATGTCTCGACCGGGATAACTTCCTAGCTCACCCCGTTCCATAATCTGTTGGTACTGACGAGGTTTGTACCGCCAAATCTCCTCTTTCAATTTAAGAATTAGGTATTTCCGTCGCCGCGATCTTGAAAGGCTGGACGCGAGCATCCGTCGTTTGATGAGAAAGTTTTGTGAATTACCAGACCGGACCTGTCAGCCGTTTTATCATTCCAGGGCTGCAGTCGGGGTTATAGATGCCCCGAATTGGACATATTTTAGGTTACCCAGGCGTTTAAATCCTGAACCGCCGACTCCACGGTCCGTTCGGTTGCTCGTGTCCGAATGGGCAAGGTTGTGGAGAAGTTATACCGAGTCCAGGAGGCGACGCAAGCCCAACTAATCGACTTTCCTCCTCTGAGTCAGATGGGGGAAAAGAGGGCGCATATGGTGATCTGTGAGCGCGATTGCGTCTTATCGGCCTTTGCTGGGCCATCTCCTTGGAAGAGAACTTCAAAATCACTGCTAACAATCTCCTTACCGAGTGCGGGTAAAAGAAATCTTGGGTGTTGCGTTATTTGCCCAATATTTGCGAGGCGAACTTCGGGACCAGGTAAAGACAGTTTCCTGTAATTCCCTATTTGGTTACTCGAACCACTTTCTCTCCACTTATGCCTCTCGCCGAGTTTGAAATTTCGTGTGTTTTAAGAGCCCGATTCAATCTTCTGCCGCTACGATCCATCCATTTACAGCCGGTTTTCGGCATGTGTATAACCACGGTTACTTGTAGAAAATGTGGTTACGCGAACGCGACTTTTCCCTATGTACTGATGTGGTATGCCCAGTCGACAACGGCAAAACTGCCATACATTACTCCAACTTGTCACTGGAGCTCACCGAAATAATGAGGCAGTGAATAATGAAGTCCACCGATTACGTGGCCTTAAATTAGTTTGATTGCATTTTATTTCCCTCTCCCCCACCTGCCTCCACAAATTCACTCTCGGCCATGGACCACCATAGATGACATATTGATATTGTCACCCATATCTCCCACTTCTTGCGTGATGGAGGAGGCCAGGACCATTTTTCTGAGAAGGACATAAAGTATAGAATAGGACTCAGTGTTATAGTCGCATAGGCCATCGTTACTGAGGTTAGTAATTGAGGTTTAATAATGTATGTGAAATCACTTATACATTCCTTCCTTGTATTTTTGATATGTGATTTATTCAGGTAATTCAATGCGACAAACGAAATATATTTTGTCCGGAACAAATAAGTGCGATGGTCCTGGAAGAGATGAAAAACACGGCTGAAGCATTATTGGGTGAAACCGTAACTGATGCGGTCATTACAGTCCCTGCATATTTCAATGATGCACAACGAAGAGCAACTCGTGATGCTGGGGAAATTGCAGGATTCAATGTTATAGGCATGATCAATGAGCCAACTGCTGCCGCTGTGGCATATGGTCTGGATACTCAGGTAATATCATTTGAGGTGCTCTCTAGCGCCACCTCGCAAAATGGACCTCAAGTACTCGCTTTCAGAAAGCCATGAGGGAAAGTTCAAAGGCATTATGTGTAACAAACCTTCTATTTCGAATATGATACATGCAAAATGACCTCAGAAAATCGGCGTAAATATCTCGATTGACATGGGGAAAGATTAGATATTATTTTCTAAATTTTTTCTTGTTTATACGAGTACTTTCAATAAATCTGTATTTTGATTCATCAAATTACAAATATCCAAATTAATGTTTATGTTCCCAATGATTTTTACTGAGTATCTTAAGGTAAAAGCAATAGAATTCAAATCCTTATCTCACAGAGCGACAACGAAAGGAATGTTCTCATATTCGATCTAGGAGGAGGCACTTTCGATGTAACCATCGTGAAAATTAAAGGTCGCAAGTTTTACGTGAAGGCAACGGGAGGTGACACTCATTTGGGAGGTGAGATTAAAATATCTTTAGTGTGTTATGATAAAACCTCTCCTATATTAGTGAAGACATATTTACTTCGTTAACTATGTATACAACGATTATGTAGCGGTTTAATATGATTATTATGACCAATCTCATATTTTTGAGATTTTGCACTGGTTCCATCAACTCATGTCTCTCTATACAGGTGAAGACTTTGATAACCAACTCATGGAGCATTTTGTTTCCGAGTTCAAACAAAATCACGATGAAGATATTTCAGAGAACAAAAGAGCATTGAATCGTCTTCGAGTGGCGTGCGAAGGAGCAAAAAAAAAATTGTCTTCTTCCTCACAGACCAGGTATGTTATACGTTATTGTGGTATTGTTTTTGTTACATTACCAGCATTTTTGGTCAGCGTCTCCCCGTATTTATTTGGTACTGCCGAAGTGTGTGTACCAGGTTAGGTTTCTGCCATAATTTTATTCCGGTTTTCCTCAGTTTAGTTTTATTACCAGTTAGTTTAGGGACAGTCTGTGTTGGCCAAGTTAATATGCATAGGTTTCAATCCATTTACACAACTTGATGTAAAGTAGGCGAACAAAATTAGTTAAATCTCCATATTGGTACACACACTTCTGGAGCGCCTTTATTTGTATTGGTGTATCATTAAGTGGTGGCCGTATGCAGAGCTTGAAATTTAACGCGTACATTACAAAAACCAAAATTGGTTCCAAAAATTTCCGTAAAAACAGTAAAGCTTGGAGTAATGACGAAAATAGGTTTTTTCTATTTCCCTCCGAAGTTGAATTCAATTTAGTTTTAAATCGGGTTAAATTTATGACACAATTAACCAGATTAATAAATGTTTGGGAAAAAAATTGGCCAAAATATTTGTAAGCATGATGATTTCAAAGGCTACTTATGTCGTGCTTTTGCTTTCGAAGGGTCCAACTCGATGCTCTGCAAGGCGGATGCGATTTTTGCAGCAACATTTCAAAAGCAAAATTTGAAAATCTGAACCACAATTTTTTCGAGAGAGTCCTTGATACCGTGAAGAATACTCTTTCCGATTCTGGATTCAAAAAAGAAAATGTGAGATACGCACGAGGCATTAGCATATTTAAAGTATTTGATTTCTTGTAAAAATCGTTTGACAATATTTTGCCAACCTATTGAATGTTTGATTTCTTTATAAGAAAATGATGACATGTTAGGTTGAAAAGAATCTCTGCAACTACTAGACATTACCAATCGCTTTCACTAATACTACTTGAAATAATAAGTAGACAATATTAAACTAGATAATTAATTTGGAAAATATCTAATTCTATTATGTCTTATTATTTACAATATTCGATTGCCATATCCATAATTCAATTTTCTTGAAAAGAATTTTTACATCTTTTCTGAATCTAAAATAAATACTCTACTATTTAGATTGATGACGTTGTTCTTGTCGGAGGCTCAACGCGAATTCCAAAAATTCGAGAAATGTTAGAAAAGTTTTTTGACAACCTGAAGCTTAAAAGAACTATTAATCCTGAAGAGGCAGTTGCTTATGGTGCAGCCGCATATGCGTTTACACTTGGTTCGGACGAGGATCCTGCTGTAAGTTGGCGTTTTCGATAGCTTGGTACCGATTAACCGAACTTTACATCATTAGTTATACAGGGTGTTCATAAAATCTCATTACAATTTATGAAAAATTTTTTACGAAGTGAAATGATGAGATATCACAATGAGGATGATTTCATGTTAATCAGTATTGCATAACGTTTCATACGATTCAATCATTAAACATAAGAAAACTTAATTAAGAAGTTTTATATGAAACAATAAATTCTAGTATTAATAAAAACTCTATGAAATACCGATTAACATGAAACAAACCTCATTGCGACATCTCATTATATCACTTTGCAAAACTATTTCTAAATTGTAGACTTTGTGAACACCCTATATTGACCATCAGTACTTTCATTTATATAGCAACCACGGCGTTAAGTAAATAAATTCGTTTCATAAACACACACGGTTTGTATGTTACTGCTGATTCAAATTCGTGTATAGTAACTCTTCAAATCGGAGTTGCAACGGCGAACACAAACGTGACGCTTCGAAAAAAAAATCAAATTATTTTTGACGAATAACTAACCTATTTCGTCTATTTCGTTTACCAATTCACATAAAATAAAAATTTAATCGAAAATTTAATAATGTCGTATATAGGTGTCAGCTTACACCCACGAGAGTATTTTATTTAGAAATAACAACTATACGAAAGTAGATTATTTAACAAACCTCTGTACTACCACGATAACCGACAAGTTTTGAGACTATTAAAGTAAAAACAAACAAAAAAACTGACTACCTCACAAAAATACAATTCGGATTTCCAATTACCACCAAATGTTGTTAAATCATTCTGAAATCTTTCGACGCAGCCAATACTATAAAGGCGATAAATCGAAAAACACTAGCACCCATTATTAATATAATGTCTCATCCAAGTTGATTAAAAGTCAAAAAAATATATTAATTATCTCAGCTGAAGGAATTCGCTCTTGAAGATGTTATTCCACTTTCTATTGGCATCGAAAAGCGTGGAGGAATCATGAGAGTTAGTATTCCGCGCAACACGAAGATTCCCACCAAAGTATGGGAAACATGGTGCACCACGGAAGATAACCAAAAAGGTATCACATTTAAGGTTCGTCTACATGACATATTTCAAATGGTGAAGCTATATTAGTTATTGTGAATTATAACCAGGGCTGCCATGACGTCCTTATTTTTAAGATTTGTCCTTATTTTAGAGGTCTTCGTCTCAGAAAATATTTTTGTCCTTATTTCTAAGAAACGTCTTTATTTTTCACACTTATCCTTATTTTTTTTTCTATTTTGAGCGAGAGGTTCTTATACCGGGCGCTTAGATTGGTCAGTTCGAATGATTGATTTGCTAGAAATGATATTGAAACCTCATTGATTGCTACGCGTATTCATTAAATAAAAACCAGAAAATTAGTTGTCACATTGACAAAACAAAAGACATTACAAAACAAATCTTTTCTAGTGCAAAGTATAATTATACACGGGTCGCACTGGCATGAATACATTTTGTTTATTACATTTTGTTCTTATCTTATTATCATGTTTACCTGACGTCCTTATTTTTGGGTTCATACCGATGGCAGCCCTGGTTATAACTATATATAATTAATCTTTTTGGAAATTTGTACTGCACAGATATTTGAAGGTGAGCGCACTTTGGCCAAAGATAATCATTTTCTTGATCAATTTGAAATATCGGGAATTCCACCTGCACCAAGGAAAAGAGGCGAAGTCCAAGTTCTACTCGAGATTAACGCGTGTGGAATTCTTCATGCCAAAGCGATTGAGGAAAGCACCGAAAATTCAAGTGAAATAACGATCGCAAGAAACAAAGGACGATTGAGTGAGAGCGATATAAAACGAATGGTAATCTAATAAATTTCTTGAACGCTTACAAAATTGCTAAATATACGAACAAATACGAGCAAATTAGTCTGCAACCTAATCGCGCATTAATTACCTCCAATTTCTAAATAGGAATACAGGGGACAAACTGCAATTATCTTAATATTTTACATGTTCGATATTATTTTCAATAGTGTGGTTGAAACATATATGCAAATATATATGAAATTAAATGTGTTTTGAAAGTGAAACCGCACATTACAGAAATATACAGAAGCATGAGTTTCACGTTAGCACAGGCAAGCAAATCTGAATCTCCCATATCTCTATGAAGGTACAGGAAGCCGAAAAATTTAGAAAAAAAGACCAAGAGCTAAAAAAGCGAAGCAAAGCAAGGAATGCACTTGAAGATTACGCATACAGTGTGAAAGAAGGAGTGGATCAAAAAAATCGAACAAGACAACAAAGAGAAAATATTATGAGCAAAGTGACTGAAATTCTTAAATGGTTGGATATAAACAAGGTAATTGTTTGTGAAGTTGAGATCAAAAAATTTCAACGATTCTTAACTAAAAAGGTTGTTCAAAGAAGTTATAATACTAATTGTACGCAAACCGGATGTTTGTTGAACTTTGTTCTCGTTGAAATTATTGGCGACTCTATAACTCATTGAAGCTGAAATTTATATGCTCACTTAATATGAGGTACGAAAAACTGAAATGAGATGTTGAAAAAGATGTGCTTTTTTAGCATGATTTAAATATTGAAGTATTGATGGCGACTATTTTCATGAACAATCTAATCCAGTGGTTCCCAACCTTTTTATCTCGGCGAACCGGTTGCATCAAGTAAAATGGTCTCGCGGACCGGCAACAAAATATTGAAATGACTGACACAAAGCATAAAAATTGAATAGAAAAATTTAAAGGAGATCTCCTTTTATTGGGTACCTTTTTAGATTGTTGTGTTGTTTTTGACTACGCAAAACCCATTGAAATTACAAATTAGAACAATGGAATAGCAAATTGTTATATACAGTTTTCGGCATACGGATGAAAATGTTTGAATTATTTTTTTGTGAATGAAAAACATCGTCAAAAATGATGAACGCAT